TGCCGTATTTTTACTGTACCATTTCTATGTTTAGTCTGTGTTTAGATACACAGATACTTACCATTGTGTTATAATTGTCTACAGATTCAGCACAGTCACATGCTGAACAGGTTTGTAGCCTAGGAGCAATAGGCGATACCACATAGCCTAGGTGTGTTTTGGGCTGTACCATCTAGGTTTGTGTAGCTGCACTCTATCTTGTTTACACAACGATGAAATTGCCTAAGGACTCATGTTCTAGAATGTATCCTTGTCATTAAGCCATGTAGATTGTAATTGTTACTAGCATAGGTAATTTCATGATGCTTACTATATGCCATACACTATGCTAAAACTTCTGCCTTCACCATAACCCCCATTTTTTTTTTTTTTTTAGACAGAGTCTTACTTCATCACCAGGCTGGAGCTCAGTGCCACAGTCTCAGCTCGCTGCAACCTCTGCCTCCTGGATTTAAGCAATTCTCGTGCCTCACCTTCCTGAGTAGCTGGGATTACAGGCATGCGTCACCACGCCCAGCTAATTTTTGTATTTTTATTAGATACAGAGTTTTACCATGTTGGCCAGGATGGTGTCGATCTCCTGACCTCATAATCTGCCTGCCTTGGCCTCCCAAAGTGCTGGGTGGCTCAACCCCCATCTTTATAAGGAAATTGACATGCAGAGTTGTCCTGTGGTCTTGGCACTGCTGACTTGACCTCGGGTTCGTCTGCTGCCAGTGTTTTGCTTAAACTAAGCTGTGCTGTGTTGGAATCCATCGTCAGAAATGACTTGCCTAATGAGCTGCTTTCAAGCTCTGTAATACTCCAGGTGCATATTGGATTAATGTCTGTTTGATCATAGGTAATGCCATTTGAGGACTAGAAAAGGTCTTAATTTCCTGATGTCTTCATTTTAGGATTTTGGAAAGTGAAGCTCAGAGAAGTTAGTAACTTGCCTAAAGGCACACAACTTGAAGAGGCAAAGGTTGGTCAGGGAACAAAACTCCTGAGTTCATTTTTGTTCCAGTGCATGGTTTCCTTCCAGTATACTGTATCTCAAAAAGTTGAGAATTGTATGTTTGAATAGTTATTTAAATTTGTGCCACAGTGAATTTGAGCTGACTTGTCGAGTACTTTAAATATAACTTAAATAGGAGACACAGAAAGGAAACGTGACCATGGAAAATATAGATGCAAAACAAGACTAAGTGAAGGGTTACTGCATCGTCCTTGGGGTCCTATATAGTTACTAAAATCATGCTACAAATTTGGCTCTGAGCTTCCTGAGCCAGAGAAAAACATGATTAGTTACAGGATTGATATGTCCAAAAAGGAAAATTCTGCCAGTTCCTCAAGGGAAAGGACAGCTAACAGCTTACAAATGTAATTGTGTTAGTTATGACAATTCCCTTAGCTGTAGTTATATATAAACCCCAAGTCTCAGGGGCTTAACAATAGAGTTCATTTTTGTTCATGTGAAATCCAACCCGGGTGTCTGTGATTGGCAGGCTGATCAACTCCAAAAGATGCTTTAGGAACCCAGTCTGCTTCCTAGTGGCTCCCAGTCTTCAGCACACAGCTTACAAGGTCACCTTCAGAAAGGAAGAGGCACCAGGAGGGTTTGTACAAGGGAGGATTTTACGGGTCAGCCTGGAAGTGTCACGCAACACATGGCCATACCTAACTGTACAAGAGACTGAGAGCTGTGGTCTGGCCACATACCTGGGGGAGAAATAAGTGGAGTTTGTGAACAGTTAGCCAGTCCCTGCCACAGACCATGTGCCTCTGAGGGGCTCTCTGCCAGATTCTATGTGTCTATGTGGCAGAGTCCCTGGGCCCATGCTCCTTCACCAAGTGGCTCTTGACCTCCACAGACTGAATTCCCCCATCTCCTTAAGGTCCTCAATAGTAGAGTAGACTGATACTTGAATGGCATGTATGGTTATGACTTCCGTCACTTGACTTTGAATTTCTTAAAAATAGACATGAGTCTTACTCCTCCTCTCTTGTACCAACCCCTATCACAGTCGGCCAGAGTACTGAGTCAGACACTTTGCATTACATTGATCTGAAATGAATAACGAGATATTAATCCACAATCTATGAATTTTACACTCCTGATATGATTCACACTTACTCTGGAGCATATAAGACAAGAGGTAAGGCAAGATTGCCTATAATTTGACTTTGGAGTTTATTTGTGGGGTAGGATGAGATGTTAGGGTCTTGACAACAGATTTCTTTATGAATTGCACTTTGTTTCTGGGAAAAGACAGTTTGAATTTTGGCCGGGCGCTGTGGCTCGTGCCTGTAATCCTAGCACTTTGGGAGGCTGAGGTGGGTGGATCACCTGAGGTCAGGAGTTCAAGACCAGCCTGGCCATCATGGTGAAACCCCATCTTTAAAAAAAAAAAAAAAAAAGATAGTTTGAATTTTTAAAATAGATGACAGGGGTTAGGTGTGGTGACTCACACCTATAATCCCAGCACTTTGGGAGGCTGAAGCAGGAGGATCACTCAAGCCCTGGAATTTAAAACCAGTCTGGGCACTTAGTGGGACCCTATCACTACAAAAATTTTTAAATTAGCTGGGCGTGGTGGTGCATGCCTGTAGTCCAGGCTACTCAGGAGGCTGCGTGGGGAGTATCACTTAAGCCCAAGAGGCCAAGTCTGCAGTGAGCCATGATCGTGACACTGTACTCTAGTCTGGCTGACAGAACAAGACCCTGTCTGAAAAAATAGACCACAAGGCATATTGCAGATTATCTATCTGCATATAGGTAATTGAATATTTGCCTCCTTTTGGAGAAGAAAAAAATTAATAAAACCAGCTTTTTATTGAGTCTTATTCCTCTCTTGTCATTTTGAGTGGTTATACTTGTTTTTTCTCTTTCTTCTTTGCAGTGCTATATCGGAAAGGCCCTCCATTTTACCATGCAAGGTTTGGAGTGATTTTTAAATAAATTAATGGGTTAAAGGGACACAGGAATTTCTGGACTCTAATTTAATTTTTTGGTACCATAGGAACAAAAGTCATGTTCTCCCTGGCCTGATAAGAATAGCTGCTGTCTGTTCATGCCTTACACACTAATGTCTGTGCTATATATAGGATGATAAGTAGTTTATGATCATATGTGTTCTAGTGTTAAACATTGAGTTAATCTGTGCCATAATTGTTCATCATAATTGTTCATCAGTTAGTGTCTAAACAGTTGTTTGAATTTACAGCTTTCCTATTGGGAAAAATATTCGTTTTTTCCTGTAAGTGTTGGAATCAGCCTGAAAGTTTGTAACTTAAAGTATGAATTTTTCATTAATATTTTCTCAATAGCAGTCTAGGGGAATTTAGAATCAGATGATGTAAATTGTATTTTCTGTATTTTTGTTCTTGGTAGGACAAATTCTTTTTAAACAGGTTTATTTCATGCTTTTAAAATGCTTTTTCTGTGTTTTTCAGTTATTCTGTCATTACTGAGCTAGTTGATGACCATTTTGAAGGCTCTCCCCGCAGGCCGTTCAGTTGGAAGTCCCTGGCTGCCTTGAGCAGAGTTTCTGTTAATGTCTCCAAGGTAACATAACATCAGCTTTGCCATTGGAGTGTCACTTAAATGGCTCAATTTTGTTTTTGTTTGTTTGTTTTTCTTAAATGTAGAATCAAAAAAGTTATTTGTAGAAACTTCATAACATTCCTGCCAGTGACATGCTAGAAGATTTGGGGTCATTTGTACCCTTCCCTTATGGCGCTAGAAGTTGTCCTCCTCTCATGTTACATTTTATTGTCCCCTCCTTCCCAACTGCTGCTGAGCTCCAGTGACTGAGCTTTGAAGCTTCCTGTGGCGATCTGATCCAGATAGGCATTGCCTCTGTTCCCAGGGGTATTGTTGCTATGTGGCCTGGTTTATACTGCAGCATAACATTCACTTACACACGTATTCACAAAGGAGTCAAAACAGTGAAAGTTTGCAGATCTCTTAGAGAGGAAGGGACTTGGTATTGATTGCTAAGCACTTTCCCACCCTGTTGTTACTCTATTCCTATGAGAAACCAAGGTTAGAGCCATTGAATGACTAATCCAAGATGACACAGCTCATGTGCAGACTCGGGATCCAAACTCACAGTTCTCTGGCTTTCCAGCTTGTGTTTCACTGTATCCTTCCTGTTGCCATCAGAGAGAGGAGGGACTCAGTTTACCCAAGGACTATCAGGAAGGAAAGCTGTGTGTGTTCTCATTCCTCAGTAATTTGCTGGCTGAGAACAAATTGTAGATACCCTCCAACTTCGTCCTCATGCTGCTGGAGTGAGGTGGGACTGAGGTCAGCGGGTCCTGCCAGGCTGGAGATGACTGCCCTTGAGAGCAGGTTAGGTTGCCTAGGCTTTAGCTTGGTCCTGTAGAAAATTAGGGAGCCTATACTGTTTCCGGTATTTTTGTGCTCACTTTAGGGGACTCATAGCATATACTTAATATGTCCTCACTTAACATTGCTGATATGTTCTTGGAAACTGCAATCTTTACGTGAATGCCATATAACAAAACCATTTTTTCTTATCATCATTATAAGAAAACAACATTGAAGTTTATTTGAAGCCCTGCTGTACTGTGTTAGTCCATTCTCATGCTGCTATGAAGAAATACTTAAGACTGGGTAATTTATTTTAAAAAAGAGGTTTAATTGACTCACAGTTCTGCATGGCTGGGGAGGCCTCAGTAAACTTAAAATCATGGTGGAAGGCACCTCTTCATAAGGTGGCAGGAGCGAGAATGAGAGATGAGTGAAGGAGGAAGCCCCTTATAAAACCATCAGATCTCGTGAGAACTCACTATCACCAGAACAGCATGGGGACTGCCCCCATAATCTAATCACTTCCCGCAAGGTCCCTCCCATGACACGTGGGCATTGTGGGAACTACAGTTCAAGATGAGATTTGGGTGGAGGCACAGCCAACCCATATCAACATCGTTTTGCTTAAAGTCAGTTTCTAAGAACCTATCAAGGACCTTAAGTAAGAACTTACTATATTTGTATTCTTTTTTTGGGGGGGACGGAGTTTCTCTCTTGTTACCCAGGCTGGAGTGCAATGGCACGATCTCGGCTCACCGCAACCTCCGCCTCCCGGGTTCAGGCAATTCTCCTGCCTCAGCCTCCTCAGTAGCTGGGATTACAGGCACGCGCCACCATGCCCAGCTAATTTTTTGTATTTTTAGTAGAGACGGGGTTTCACCGTGTTGACCAGGATGGTCTTGATCTCTTGACCTCGTGATCCACCCCCCTCGGCCTCCCAAAGTGCTGGGATTACAGGCTTGAGCCACTGCGCCCGGCCTTATATTTGTATTCTTAATGCTGTGTTTATGATGGATGAATATGCTTTTACCTCTTGCCATGTTTGGTGATTGCTAAATGGCAGGTACCTAGTCAAAATGTAAATCCCAATTATGATGTCCACAGGAGGACACCGATGTGCTCTGTGAATTTTCACTTTTGGTGATTCCAGGAGTGCACAGTGAGAAGGACTGGAGACTACCTGCATTTCCTGCTGATGCACCCACATTTGTACTATTATTTTGTAGGATACGGAAGTGGTTTTTCATTTCTCAACAGGAACTTATGCTGTGCTATTTGATTAAACCCTCTACTATGACTGACAAGGAAATGGAGTCACCAGAATGTATGAAAAGAATTAAAGTTCAGGTAGGTAAACAGAGAAATCAGTGTCATCCCAAAGATTATATGCATCATGCTGTATCTGGAACATGTGGTCCCAAGCAAATAAATGAATATAGTCTTGCCTTGGTAATAGAGAGCCTTCTTAGCCTCTTTAAGTCTGTCACCTTTTCCCCACTGAACCCACTGGACATGAAATCTATGCTGACTTCCACTATTCCCTGATTCCCCACTTCTTTACCTGTGATGTCCTCATCACTCAGCTGAAACTGCTCTCTCACAGATGGCCTGTGACCTGGTCAGGCCAGGACCTCTCACAGGTCTCATTCCCAGAGACCGGAGGTATCCCTATTGACTCGCTTCTACTTCTAGGCTTCTGTATTGAACTAAGGCACCTCCTGTTGTTTTGACTGGTTTCTCTCTGGTCTTGCCGAGTTGTCTAGTGTGTCCATGTTTCTGCTTTCCCTCCCTCTGTGTGTAGAGCCTTAACATTGCTATTAGCTCCTCCCCACATCCACTTTGTCATTGTTGTCATCCTCTCTTGTACACGTCACCCTTTCTTCTTTTCACACCACCCTGCCTCCTGCAGACCAGCCGGAAGGCGCCAGCACCTCCTCCCTTCAGTTGGTCCCACTTATCTCCACTAGGCTAGCTTTTCATAAAATGCTGATCAACCTCATTTCTCCCTTCTCAGTAGCTGGCCCAGTTACAGCAACGCCATCACAGACCTAGCTCTAATGTAAAATCCTATCTTTTATCCAGCCCACCTGTTCCTGAAATGTGCTGGTAGAACACCACAGCAAAGGCAAGCTTAGCTTTTAAAATCTGCCTGGTGAAAGTAGATGCTATTTGCTTGTAAGGTTTATATTGTTACATTCATTTTTTCCAGATGTTTCTGTTACAAAGATGGGAGCAGTATCATCATTATCTAGACAGCTGTTTGTGAAATGTAGCTGTGGTATCAACTACCCGGAATGGTCTTACATTTCTGTTTTAAGAAATTGTCTTTTGATTGGTTGCAGGAGGTGATTCTGAGTCGATGGGTTTCTTCACGAGAGAGGAGTGACCAAGATGAACTTTAACAATTCAACCTTTGAAATTAGAAATTCGAATTTCTAATTTCGCCAACAACTATTTGTTGAGGGCTAGGTAAAAAGTTTACTTAATCATCCATTAATTTATAAGTTTTAAAAGGCATGGTGCTGCCAGCACCAGAAAACTATCAGTGTTTTTCAAGATAAATTACACAGGGGAGGAGAAGGATCCCTGTGCTGGGACTGCAGGTTCTGTCCTTGCGTTGGCCTCTAACTCTCCAACCCTGAGCCTCGTGCCTCTGGCCTCAGTCTGTGCCCTCATCCGGTGACTGAGGAGGTTGGGCTAGATGAGTCCTGAGAACTCTTCCAACAACAGGGACATTTGTTCTCTGATTTTACCTGAAAATGGTGGTAGTTTACATTTATACAGTATGGTTTATGAAGCACTTTCATACAGAGGCATCTGTTGTTACCTACATCTAAGCTGTCCTTGGAAGAGTATTAGCAGATTTAGCAATTACATGGATCTATGTTCCATTATTATTATTATTATTATTTTTTTTTTTTTTTTGAGACGGAGTTTCGCTCTTGTTACCCAGGCTGGAGTGCAATGGCGCGATCTCGGCTCACCGCAACCTCCGCCTCCTGGGTTCAGGCAATTCTCCTGCCTCAGCCTCCTGAGTAGCTGGGATTACAGGCACGTGCCACCATGCCCAGCTAATTTTTTGTATTTTTAGTAGAGACGGGGTTTCACCACGTTGACCAGGATGGTCTCGATCTCTTGACCTCGTGATCCACCCGCCTCGGCCTCCCAAAGTGCTGGGATTACAGGCTTGAGCCACCGCGCCCGGCCCTATGTTCCATTATTTTAAATGGAAAGAAGAGTTGTGTGTCTCAGCTTATCCAAGAACTTTAAACAATAGCTCAAAACATTGAAAAGTCCCTTCAGTACCTACCAAGGATTTCTGTATCACAAAGCCTTTAAGACATCAGTTACCTGATTATGTAATTCTCAAATGAACTCAGTGGTAGGCATGCTTATGTACAGAACACAACAGTAGTGTACAATATTAGATAATATCTTCACTGAACTTGTTATAAAAATGAGTGGTTAAATAATGTTTGGAGACATAAGGAAAGCAATTTACACTTAGCAAAATGTAATAAAGCCTTTTTTTAATTGGTGAGAAAGTCGTGAAGACTTAAGTTATCTAAGGGCATTTGGTGGCAAGAGGAGGGAAATGGGTGGCTGGGCACAGTGACTCGTACCTATAATCCCAGCACTTGGGAGGCTGTAGGAGGCCAAGGTGCACAGATCGTTTGAGCCTAGGAGCTCAAGACCAGCCTCGGCAACATGGTGAAACCTCCTCTCTACCAACAAAAATTAGCTGAGCGTCGTAGCACATGCCTGTAATCCCAGCTACTCAGGAGGATAAAGTGGGAGGATCAATTGAGCCCAGGAGGCAGAGGCTGTAGTGAGCAGAGGTCGTGCTACCACAATCCAGCCTGAGTGATAGAGCAAGGCCCTGTCTCAAAAAAAAAAGGTGGAGGGGAATGGAAAAATTGAAAGGGGGATAGTTACTCTTTGGTGGTAGAGGGAAGAGAGCTGGAGTGAGCCAGTGAAGGCCTGAGAGAGAGAGGTGTCTGAGATTCATTCAGTGTCTAAACTCCAGAAACTGGTGGACAGTCTTCTTGGCATTCAAGACTCCAGAAGTGGATGGAACCATCTCTGGAAGCTATGAGATGGAAAAAAGCAAAATGGGCATCTCTTCGCATTCCCTTGACCTGTGGTCTTAGAAATCCTGGCAACATAAGATTCTGCTTGAAGTTACTTTTAATTTGGTGCTTCTGTTCATGCCACAATCCTGCCATCTTTACAACAAACTCATTATTTCTGCATGATCTAGATTTCAAAGGCATCAAAAGGTGGCGACATGGGCTTGTAATACCTGCTACTCAGGAGGCTGAGCTGAGAGGATCACATGAGACCAGGAATTAGAGGTTCCAGTGAGCCATGATCATGCCACTGTGCTCCATTCTGAGTGACAGAGTGAGGCTCCGTCTCAAAAAAAGAAATTTATTTTAAAAGGTGTTCTTAGTTCTAGGAGCAAGGGCGGGGGGAGTTAACATTTTGTTCAAATTATGGAGCTCCTTGCTCCCCTGCCTTAAACCAGAAGTAACCATCAGTTGGAAGTGTTTCTTAGTAGAAAGAGTGTCTAAGCAGCTCCTCATTAGTGAGGCTGTAGTCCAACATTTTTGCTGTCTGTCTTGCTTACCGTGAGGCCAAAGATTTTTTGCTTTGAGTCATTTTCTCAAAACCTTGAAAGTCAGCAAAGAATATCAGGGGCCTTTTCTTTCTTATTTCATTCATATTTGTGGTGACACTTCTTTATGGTAAACAAACAAAAACTCTTCCATTAAATATCAGCAACCTACATCAGATACTTTATCATCAACTAATATGCCCCGAAGGTTGTGGTGACTCCTGGGCATGCAGGTTGCTGTGATGTGGTATTGAAAAGCCAAAAGACCACACCAATATTATTTGCAACTGAAATCTCTAGAAGAATGTCCAGAAGGATCATCTTTTTTTTTTTTTTTAATTGCATTTTAGGTTTTGAGGTACATGTGAAGAACATGCAAGATTGTTGCATAGGTACACATGTGGCAGTGTGATTTGCTGCCTTCCTCCCCCAGAAGGATCATCTTTAGTCAAGGAAGTCTGTCTGAAATACTTTTCTTTACGTATGCAGCTTGGACACCATAGAGCAGGCTGAGCAGTCTTCAGCATCACCCAGGGGCCTCTGGGTTCTGGAATGATACATTAGCAAGGGTTTCGTTTAACATTACTGTCACAATTTCCAGTTAACAGCAGTATTCACTTATCTTTGGAGGTTTTATGTCCTGACCCATTTTCTTCTGAAATGTACAGGATAGTATTTCTTTTTGCTTTAAGCCAAAAACAGGTTCATCAAGATTAGAAATTTGCTCTGTGCTTAAAACCACCTGCAGGAGTTTTCCCGTAATTCACTGTGGAGATGGTACAGCCTCACCTAGAGCAAAAATTGCTTCGCTCATACTCGTCAAAATAATCAGGTTTAGGTGGTTATCTCTTGACCTGTCCAGACTTGCTTTTAAATTAGCTAGAATCCTTCCCCAAATTATCTCTCTCCTCCGCCACTCTTTCAGCTCTCCAGTGGTGTTCAAAACCTTCTGCCACATCAGCCTTGTCTCAGTGGCATCAAGCCGACTGGCCAGGCATCCTCAGCACAAGAATTTCACTAGCTTTAGTACATCATGCTCAATAACGCCATGAAACCTTCTGGAACCAACAGTATTTCCACAAGTCTTGTCACCCAGTGCAAAACATTAGACACACAAAAGGTGGACACATGCTGGGCAAGGATTTTATCTTCAGTGTCTACCTTTCTCAGTATACTTTATACTTTATCACTTCCTTTTTTTTTTTTTTGTGAGATGAGTCTCACTCTGTCGTCCAGGCAGGCTGGAGTGCAGTGGTATGATATCGGCTCACTGCAACCTCTGCCTCCCAGGTTCCAGTGCTGCTTCTGCCTCAGCCTCCCAAGTAGCTTGGATTACAGGCATGTGCCGCCATGGCTGGCTAATTTTTGAATTTTCAGTAAGATGGGGTTTCACCATGCTGGCCAGGGTGGTCTTGAACTCCTGACCTCAGGTGATCCACCCATCTGGACTTCCTAAAGTGCTGGGATTACAGGCGTGAGCCACTTCGCTCAGCCCCCACCCCCGATTTTTTTCTAATGGGATATCCTAGGCCTCTAAAAGTTACCTTGTTTCATGGGCCTTTTCCTTTGGAGACATTTTCACATAGTAAACTGGGGAAGGCAATATGATAATACACCACAGACTAAACAAACATCGGGTGATCAGCTAAGGTGATAGTTTGAGCTACATCCTTTTATCTGGTCCAGATAATACTTGAATACAACTTTCCTGCAAGCCCTTACATATTTGCTGTATTTAATTTGGATAGCCAATATGGGGTAAAATATTTTGCAAACCATGATAGCAAACATTCAGAACATTTGGAGAGTGGGAGTTGAGATGGGGCAGATGCCTGTGTATTTATCCCGGCAGCAGCCTTGGGAATTCAGGAGGGACCCACAGAGAGGTGTTTGAAGCTCAGAGATGGTGGGCGTGCATCACTACCAGTCATGCACGTTGAGGACTTGACCCAAGATTGCTATCTCAGCTGAAAAGACACTATTCTAAAAATTACATGTAGTCGGAAATACAGCCCTGTTGTCTGGTGGTGGTGGTGAACAAGGAAGGTCACCCACCACATCAGGCAGGGCCAGCTTTGTGCTCCCACACAGTCCTCCACCTCAGGGGTGGGGTGCAGCCTGAAGCCCCCTTACTTACCGGTTGTGCTTATGATTTTGGAAACAGCATCAGAAAGATTCTATGACAACCACTATGGATGCAAGGGTAAGAACCACCTTGGTGCAGTGTGTGGTACTTGGCTTTTAATTGCCCAAAGATAATTCTGAAAACGGTAGTAACGTGAACCTTCTAGAAAGAAACTTCAAATCTCAGCTCTGCTTCCCTGTGGTGGGGCGCCTTGGGCAATCTACTTGCCCTTCATAACCTCAGTTTTCTTATGTCTGGCATGTGGCTAATGATGTTTACCTCATTGTGTGGTTGTGTGGGTAAAGGAGAGCTCAAAAATCACTATAATCCTAGCACTTTGGGAGACAGAGGCGAGAGGATCATCTGAGCCCAGAAGTTCGAGACCAGCCTTAGCAGCATAGAGAAACTGTCTCTACTAAATAAATAAATAGGCATGGTGGCACGCACTTGTAGTCGCAGCTACTTGGGAAGCTGAGGCAGAAAGATCGCTTGAGCCTGGAAGGTTGGTGCTGCAGTGAGCCAAGATCACCCCACTGCACTCCAGCCTGGGTGACAGAGTGAGACCTAATCTCAAAAAAAAAAAAAACAAATGTGATGCATAACAGTGTCCCCTTCCTGAATGGAACAACTACACTAAACTGGCAAGAGACTGAGGAGACCCATGTCAGTTTGCTTTATATTCAGAGCTAAATGTGGGTTGAGAACAGAAATGTGCTTTTTGAAGATCGGCCCACCCACCTGATGACAAATACAGACATTGTGCACAAAATGTGGAATGAGGCAAGAGATTTATTGAAGGCCTGTGTGCTGGCGCTGCTCTGTCTTGGAGCAAGCTAAATCAGCTCCATCCTGTCTTCTGAGGAGCCTAGGGGCAAGAATTGGGCAGTCATCCTTAGAAGGCATGGGGCCAGCCCCTGGGAGTGGAGTATAGATCTTGCCACTGCACTCCAGCCTGGGCAGCAAGAGTAAAACTGATTCAAAAAAAAAAAAAAGGGAATTCATAGCCTGCAGAAAATTGAGAGAGAAGAAGTATGAGGCCAGCTTTTGCCAAAGTCACCCCCAGATTGGAGAGCACCCCCTAAAATAGGAAATCTAAAGCTTTCCTTGAAAAGGGGTGAGAATCCCAGCACTTTGGGAGGCTGAAGTAGGGGGATCACTAGAGACCAACCTGGACCACATAGTGAGACCCTGTCTCTACAAATAATTTTTTAAAAATTAGCTGGGTGTGATAGCATGCACCTGTAGTCCCAGCTACCAGGAAGGCTGAGGTAGGAGAATTGCCTGAACCCAGGGAGTTGAGGCTGCAGTGAGCCATTGTCGTGCCTCTGGACTTCAGCCTAGGCAGCAGAGGAAGACCCTGTCTCCAAGAAAATAAATGGAAAAGAAAAGAGGTGCAGCCCCTAAGGGAAATTAGCATAATATAGGCATTCCTTATTTATTTTAGCTGTCTTTTATTGTTTACCTCCTTTCCATGTTTGAATGTTGATAAAAACAAATCCTTATTTTCTCCGTTTTCTTCTCTAATGATGGCAAAGCATTGACCTAGCTTCTGCACATACTAGGTACAGTTGGTCCCTTCCAATTTGCTGGGGGGTTGTCCTCTTGACCTCTGCAGTGTGGCCCAGGGGTTAAGGGCACAGCTTTTGCAGTCAAGCCTTGGTTTGAACCCCAGTTTTGCCATTGTATGACTTTGGACAAATAATTTCCTCAAATTCTCTTTTCTTCTGTAAAAGAGGCGTGTTAGGACCTACCTCAGAGGATGGTCTTGAGGATTGGCAAGGAAGAATAGTAAGTGTTTCTTCTGGTGTGGAGGCCTTTATGAATGCTCATTAAATGCAGCTGCTGTTATAATTGGTAAAGAATTAGACTAAAGAAGCTGAATTCTAGTATAAAATGTGAAGAGAATGGAAGCAAATTGGAATTCTTTCATCTTTAATGTCTGGGGTTTTGTTGACTTCTTGAACACCACGGAATACCAGTCACAGTTTTGCTTAAAATGGTATCAAATTCTGGGTGGGCAGTTTTGTATTTCTTTAAAGGAAAGTACCTGAGCTTGTAAATGCAAATGTTGCTATGCCATGCATTCTTTCCCACTGAAGTTAACTGCGCTGAAAAATGGACCGAATGCCTCTTTGGAAACAAGCTTTAAGGATCTGTAGCAAGTTTTCTGATGATCTTTATTCCTAATGTTAAAGGATAAAGCACATTAAAATCTAAAGAGTGTATTTGAGCAAACAGCCATTCATGAATCAAGCTGTACCAAAACTGAAGTGGCTCGGGCTTCCTGGAAAGAGTGTGAAGGGAGGCTTTTAGAGGGCATTTGAGGAAGCATAGGCGAGAAGTTGGTTGAAGTTTGAGATTTTGCCTGATTTAGGTTATTCCAGTGGCAAGTATCTGATTGTGTAACTAATGCTCAGTTGGCCATTTAGGATTGGCTGAGCTTAAGTTTCATTTAGTTTAATTTGGAACTGGGTGTTGGATCCATCTTGGTGTAATGGCGTCCCCCTAAGTTATTTTAACATGAGGCAGTTATTGTTGCCTTTAAGATGGGTTTTTGATTTTTGGAAATTAGATATCAGTTGGTACCAAGGCTGGGGAATAAGATTAAGTAAAGTAATACATCACATTTAGTCAAAAAGTGAGTTCTGGAAGAAGTTGCCAAAGAGGAATTCGGGAATGTTTTGCATGTTGGCCTTTTGAAGTTCGATGATTCTTTCGGTACACAAACTCCAACATACTTGTTCAAAATCCCCACAGTTGCTGATCCCAGTTTCCCCAGACGACTCCTGAAGCTATCAGGGAAAGAAGATAGCCCTCTCTTCGTGTCCTTTCTGAACTCTGCCTTTCCAGTGGGCATAGGAAGTACTTTGTGGCGGCAAACCCAACTCCTGAACCTCCATGTGTTGGGTCAGGCCAAATGAAAAGGACACAGGCTGGAATTTTACTGATTTGAGGCATTGCCAGGCCTGTTTGTGCAAATAGACCCTGAAGAGTTCATTTAAAAGGAGTAACCATTTCCTGATTTAGATTCTGAGGGGGTTTTTGGTTTTGTTTTGTTTTACTATTGTTCACTATCATGAGCTTACTATGCACTTTTCTTTTCCTGAGATGGAATCTCGCTCTGTCGCCCAAGCTGAAGTGCAGTGCTGCGATCTTGGCTCACTGCAACCTCTGCCTCCTGGGTTCAAGCGATTCTTGTGCCTCAGCCTCCCAAGTAGCTGGGATTACAGGCACCTGCCACCACGCCTGGCTAATTTTTATATTTTTAGTAGAGACGGGGTTTCACCATTTTGGCCAGACTGGTCTCAAACTCCCGACCTCAGACGATCTGCCTGCCTCGGCCTCCCGAAGTACTGGGATTACAGGTGTGAGACACAGGGCCCAACCCATACAAGTTTTTATTGACCACAGTTAAATGCATTTAGAAATCCATAGTACTGATGAAAGGTAGCAAGCTCCCTACCCCCATTGTCCGGACTGCACTTACGTAGCTCTCAGCACAAACCGCTGCCCTCAGGGGCTTGTGCCTCCTGCTGGGGACGGTCAGTGACATAGAAGCCATGCTCCTGTATTGCTCGGTAGAGTGTGATGTATTTGGATGCCAGCCTTGTCCGAGGGACCACGTACTTCTCTGTAAATTCACTCTTGTCCAGTTGCTCTCTACCTTCTGCCATCAGAACGCAGTTAATGAACAAGAGTGTGTAAGTGTAGCAGTTGTAGTGGTCTTCTTCATACCTTGAAGAGAACAAAGGCATTGGGAGGAAAAGTCTGCTCAGGAACAGGCCATGAAGATAACAAAGGCCTTTCCTAACTGAAATTAGGTGCCTCAGTGAGCAGAGCTTCTGAGTTTGCTGGCTCATGTGGTTAAGAAGCTTCAAGATGTGCAATTCAGGCCAGGCACAGAGGCTCACACCTATAATCCCAGCACTTTGGGGGGCCAAGGTGGGAGGATCACTTGAGGTCAGGAGTTCGACACTGGCCAGGCCAACATGGTGAAATGCCATCTCTACAAAAAGACATCTTCTGAAATGTTGGGAGAGAGGAATTGAGAAATTAAGTTGAAATTGCTAAAATTACAAAATAGAAACAAGTATTTTTAACTTTTGAGCATTGTTTTTTTGGTTTTTTGTTTTTTTTCTTTTTTGGAGTCAGAGCCTCACTGTTAGGCAGGCAGGAGTACAGTGGCACGATCTTGGCTCACTACAACCTCCACCTCCTGGGTTCAAGCAGTTCTCCTGCCTAAGCTCCTAAGTAGCCTCCCAAGTAAGGACTACAGGTGTCTGCCACCATGCCTGGCTAATTTTTGTATTTTTAGTAGAGATGGAGTTTTACCATGTTGGCCAGGCTGGTCTCAAACTTATGACCGCAGGTGATCCACCTGCCTCAGCCTCCCAAAGTGCTGGGATTATAGGCATGAGCCACTGTGCCCGGCCTGAACATTGGTTTTTAAAATTTTTGTTTTACCGAAATATAATATCGTGACTTGCTGTATATGTGTGAAAAATAACTTGTCACATAACTAAAATAACCGAATACAGGTTCTAGTCCTTTTACCTCTTACAGTGCTGTGATTTTGTTATATGTGTATGCTGACCCACCTGCAGACAACCTAAGGTAGTTCAACTTCTGTTTAAATTGTGTTAGAGATGCTAATATCTCCATGTGAACTCAACGTGAAGCTAAATGCTGCCGAGCCCTCTGTGAGCTGAGGCCATACGGAGATCCCAGTTGAATAACATGTGAGTGCCAGCGAGGGTCGCCCTTTGCAGCCATGTACCTGTGAGGCAACCAGGCCCCCGAGGTGGAGAAGTCTTCCAGGTACTTGTCCCATTGCTCCATCATTCCATACATGTTGGGCTGCAGTAATGGGATGCTTATGCTCTGCTCCCACCCTGCGCCATCTCGCTGGACACCATGTGCACTGTAATTATACACAACCCCTACAAACAAAAACCAAAGTCATGTGGAGCCTCAAGGAAACACACACCTCTGTGAAAAAGGGACATCAGAAAATGACAGTAGCCACATGGTAACTTTACGTAATATAAACCTAGGCGGGAGGTTCTAGAATCTCCTTCCATCCACCTAATAAGATTTAGATTTGCCTAGAGTGAGGGAGGGGGTGTATGTAGCCATCCTGTTATCAGCAAAGCATTTGCATGAGAGAACCCCAGTTCTAGCTCTACCTGCAGTTCAGGGCTGTGAAGTTGCTCCCAGGAAGCGGAGATAGTAATAGTCACCAGGATCATCATCTCCAATATTTTTATTGAAGTTCTCTATTTACCAATGGTTCAATCTTATTTCCTTAAATCAGGAATAAATTACCACCTGATAAAGATGAGTGGTAAGTATGACTGTTCTTGTGGGTAACTGAGTTCAGAACTGGTCTGGGTTTCTGACCACAGTGTCAGTTTCTCTTTGCTCAGCGGGTAAGGCTGTTATCAGACTTCACCATGCCCGGGCTACACATCCTGCAGGTGGCTCCACCCAGACCCTTTTCCTGCAGACAAGAAAGCTTCTGGCTGAAGAGTTGCACACTGCCCTCAGAGCTATAGGTGGCCAAAGGAACTGTTTTGTTTAATCTTCACTTTCTTTAAAAAAACAAAAACACTGCAGGCCCCACGACACCCTACTTTACTCCTGAAGTCCCTGGAGTGTGGGGACCCAGTGGTAGCTGGCTGAGCATAGAAAGGATTGGAAATCAGAGGGCCTGTTTCCAGATTCTGGTTCGGATGCAAGATGTGAGGTCTTGGGTAACTCAGCCTCACTGGACATCTATTTCTTCCTCTTTTAAAAACGTACAGGTTTGTGAGGCTCTTCACTGAGAAAACTAATATTAAAGAGCTTTCAAATATTTCATATTGTTAGTAGTAATAATTTGCCATAAAGTCAAATATTTCTCATTTGGGGGCAGTGCACACCTCATGGTAGAGTACGAGAACCCAGGGAACAATGGAATCACTCATTAGATGCTGCCATAATCGAATCTTCTCTACAAATACTACTTTCCTTTTACTGGGTATTGGGTTTTAAGCTATGAAACTGCACTTACCATTTGTGTTAGTTATTCCAACGTGAAGATTAGACCTTCCATCATACTCCCTGAAAGAAACAAGGTTTGTTTTTTTCTGGTTTGCATGTGTTTGGCATGAAGAATTGGCATTTAAAGTAGGAGGAGGCCAGGCACAGTGGCTCAAACCTGTAATCCCAGCACTTTGGGAGGCCAAGGCAGGCAGATCACTTGAGGCCAGCTGTTCGAGACCATCCTGGTTAACATGGTGAGACTCCGTTTCTACTAAAAATACAAAAATTAGCTGGGCATGTTGGTGTGTGCCTGTGATCCCAGCTACTTGGAAGGCTCAGGCACAAGGATCACTTGAACCCGGGAGGTGAGGGTTGCAGTAAGCCGAGATTGCACCACTGCACTCCACCCTGGGTGATAGAGCGAGAGACAGTCCAAGAAAATAAGTAGGAGGAGAGCCGGCTGGGTGCAGTGGCTCATGCCTGTAATCCCAGCACTTTGGGATGCTAAGGTGGGAGGATCCATTGAGGCCAGGAGTTCAAGACCAGCCTGGCCAACACGATGAAACCCTGTTTCTACTAAAAATACAAAAATTAGCTGGGCATGGTGGGGCATGCATCCCAGCTACTTGGGAGGCTGAGGCATGAGAATCACTTGAACTCATGAGACAGAGATTGCAATAAGAGGAGATTGTGCCACTGCACTCCAACCTAGGCAACAGAGTAAGACTGTCTCAAAAACAAAAAATTAGGGGGAGAGCCAGACATGGTGGCTCTCGTCTGTAGTCCCAGCTACTTGGGAGGCTGAGCTGGGAGGATCACTTGAGCCCATGGGTTCAAGGCTACAGTGAGCTATGTACCACTGCACTCTAGCCTCAGCAACATAGAGAGACCCTGACTCTAAAAAAACAAAACCCCAAAACAGTTTGGGCTTCATGATTCTGATTAGGTTCACATGAAGCTTCTGCCAGGCTTTGTAGTTAGAGTCTGAAGTGAACATAAAAAGAATAGGATGGGAAGGAGCATGTTGGTGAAACATAACTGAAGCTTGAGACAGGCTTATATACCCTATTGCTAAACCTCCTATGCACCTACCATTTAAGTTAAGTTCAAATAGCCTTCCCTGTTATCAGCAAAACATTTTCTTGAAACAAACCCAGTTCTAGCTGTACCTACTGTTCAGGGCTGTGAAGTTGCCCCCAGGAAACGGTGACAGAATCATTTTCAATATTTTTATTGAAATTAAATATTTACTGTTTACGATTAAAAATTAGGCTGGGCACAGTGGCTCATGCCTGTAATCCCAGCACTTTGGGATGCTGAGGTGGGCATATGAAGCCGGGAGTTGAAGACCAGCCTAGACATCATTGTGATACCTTGTCTCTACTAAAAAATAAAATAATTAGCTGAGTGCGGTGGAGGGACCTGTAATCCCAGCTACTCGGGTGGCTGAGACACGAGAATCCCTTGAGCCCAGGAGGCAGAGGTGGCAGTGAGCAGAGATTGCACCACTGCACTCCAGCCTGAGCAACAGAGTGAGACCCTGTCTCAAAAAAAAAAAAAAAGATTAACAATCTTAATTTTAATCTTTGTTTTACAGATAAGGAACCAGACTCCTGGAACCGGTTAGAAGAGCCAGGTTAGGAATCAGGGGCTTTATGATGCCAGAGCCTGTAATGCCCTCTCTGCATTGGCTGCCTCCCTGAGCAAGGCCCAGGGATGCTGTCTGTTTAGCACCAAACATTATGACCAAAATCTTTTACAGACTTTGGTTCACTTCATCCTCATAGGGACCAGAAGGAAATTGTTTAAGGAAGTTAGTAAGCAGGAAGGTGAGTAGTCAACTCCCATTTTCTTATTCAAAATCAGCACTCTTGAGGGGACAGGAGAGTTAGGAGGGTAGACTAAGGAGTATTAGACTAATGATACACAGGAGCCGAACATGCTTCCTAAAGCATACACCAACATTTAATGACCTATGCTATTCTAAAGCCTGGCTTATATGGGATCGATCCTAATCCTATTGGTAAACTCCATGGGGACAATAAAATACAAACCTGGCCAGGCACAGTGGCTCATGTCTGTAATCCCAGCACTCTGGGAGGCTGAGGCAGGCGGATCACCTGAGGTCAGGAGGTTGAGACCAGCCTGGCTAACATAGTGAAACCCCATCTCTACTAAAAATACAGAAATTAGACAGGCGTGGTGGATCCCAGCTACTCAGGAGGCTGAGGCAGGAGAATTGCTTGAACCCAGGAGGCGGAGGTTGCAGTAAACCAAGATCATGCCATTACACTCCAGCCTGGGCAACAAGAGTGAAACTCCGTCTCAGGGGAAAAAAAAGGTGTAATCCTACTTTTGCTTTCTGAATTCATTCTTTTTGTTTGTACCAGCACTCTCAGCAAGAAGGAACTAAATTTGTTCTTAATCAAAGCCAGGTGGTGTCGATGATGGAAACAGAACAGTTCTAGTCTTCAGTTTAACTTGCCTCCATAAAAAATGGTCTGTAAGTGCCAGTTCATCAGGCCCTGTACATTGTACCTGTTTGTCACTGAAACTACACCCTAACTGGCAGTAAAGGTATTATTTAGATAAGATTAGCTGCTGGGTCATTTTCCCAGTTAGCCTCTGAGCACACATTTTTCTCTCTGAAAATTGTATGAGCAGGTTTATTCTTCATATATTCCACATATATTCTTGCACTTATCACTGTAGGCACGCATGCACACCATCTATTTTTATGAAGCCAGTAGGCCTGCATCTCAGGATTTAACGCCAAAGCACCAAAAAAAATGTCCACGAAACTTCACACATTATATATTAAGAAAAGGAAGTTTTAGTGACTAAAACAGAAGGACAAGTTTGCACAATGCAATTTAACACTTTAAAAAACACTGTACCTAAGAAACGTCCCCTGAGTTGGTCTGAGGAGGAATGAACATTTTTCCTGATGTCCATTAGTGAATGGATTAGCGATGCTAACAGGTGCTTCCTCCAGCTTCCTCGAGCCCAGGTCTTGCTGGCAGAGAGGGCAGCACCGGGGCACCCTGAAGCTGTAGATGTATTTCTCACAGTGGTTGAATTTAATTAAAGCCTTCCCAGCCTCTGTGCAGTGCATAGCTTTCGCCTCCTGGGATGCCAGGGGAGGATTCCGGAGACTTCCTTTTCCTCATTACACACCTGGCAAATGCACACCGCCCTGAGAAACCTGATCAATGGTGATGTCATCTTGACTGATGGCTTCAGAAGCCAAACCAGGTAGGATTAACCAGTAGCCAGCCCTCCCTGTAGACTGTTTCTTAAAGAGCTAGTTTCTGTTTGTTTATGTCCATTGTTTATGGTAACGGATGACTGCCAGCTTCTATTCATCCTTTAAAGCCACACTTTTCCATGAAATCTTTCTCAGCTCCCCTTAGCCCTCCCTTGCAGTGGCAGCGCTGGATTCATATTTCTATCAAAACTTTTATTTATTTATTTAGAGATAGGGTCTCACTCTGTCACCCAGGCTGGGGTGCAGTGGTACAATCTTGGCTTACTGCAACTTCCACCCCCAGGTTCAAGTGATTCTCCCACATCAGCCTCCCCAAGTAGCTGGGGCTACAGAGGCACCATACCCAGCTAACTGTTGTATTTTTTGGTAGAGATGGGGGTTTCACCATGTTGGCCAGGCTGGAGTCCACCTCCTGAGCTCAAGTGATCAACCCGCCTCAGCCTCCCGGAATGCTGGAATTAGAGGCATGAGCCACCATGCCCAGCCTAGAACTGTTATTTAATCATTTAGTTTTGTTTCTCCTGTTAGTCTGTGAGCTTCTTGGAACTGGAAACCTTTATTTTTGTGTTCCCAGAATTTGATCAGATCATTTTGTTGTTGTATAAATAAATCCTTAATTTAAGGCTATTTTTTTTTTTACATTTTGTATTGTAAAAGTAATCTTGCTTATAAAAAAAATTAACATCCAAAATGTTCTGGGGTTTTTATAAAGAAATTAGTAGCCCAGTTAGAAATAAGGATAGTGATAACAGGAGGAGGCTACTGATTTGGGAGAGGGCAGAAGGGGTTTCTGGGCTCCAGGGCTATTGTGACTCCTTATCTGGGTGTTAATAATATGGGAGTTTTCTACTTGTGAAAAAGCATCATGCTGTGCATTTTATCATATGCACTAGATAACTTTTCAATTCTAAAATAATTAAAAAATTTTTTTAATTTTTGTGGGTACATAATAGGTGTATATATTTAAGGAGTATACGGGATATATTTACACGTGCTCTTAGCCAAAAGGCCAAGAAGCGATACGGGATATATTTATATATATTTAAAATAGAGTCTCTCGGCCAGGCGCGGTAGCTCACACTTGTAATCTCAGCACTTTGGGAGGCTGAGATGGGTGAATCACCTAAGGTCAGCAACCTGAGACCAGCCTGGCCAACATGGTGAAGTTCCATCTCTGCTAAAAGTACAAAAATTAGCCAGACATAGTGGTGGGCGCCTGTAATCCCAGCTACTTGGGAGGTTGAAGCAGGAGAATCGCTTGAACTTGGGAGGCAGAGGTTGCAGTGAGCCGAGATCATGCCACTGCACTCCAAGCTGGGTGACAAGAACAAGACAACATCTCAAAAATTAAAAATAAAAGAGTTGCTCCTGTCACCTAGGCTGGAGTGCAGTGGCATGATCTTGGTTCACTGCAACCTCCGCCTTCCAAGTTCAAGCAATTCTCCTGCCTCAGCCTCCCGAGTAGCTGGGATTACAGGCACCTACCACCATGTCCTGCTAATTTTTGTACTTTTAGTAGGGACAGGACTTCACCATGTTGGCCAGGCTGTTCTTGAACTCCAAACCTCAGGTGATCCACCTGCCTCGGCCTCCCAAAGTGTTGGGATTACAGGTGTGAGCCACTGTGCCTAGCCTGTATCGGATATTTTGATACAGACATACAGTATGCGATAATCATATCAGGGTAGATGGGGTATACAATTTAAAAATAACTTTTACCTGGGTGTGGTGGTGCATGCCTGTAGTCCCAGTTACTCAGGTGGTTGAGATGGGAGGCTCGCTTGAGCCTGGAAGATTGAGGCTGCATTGA